GGGTCGTGAGAGAGAAGATGAGAGATGGGGCGGGTAGGGTTTTTAGGAAAGGGGGGTCCGATTATGTTGTTCTTCTCGTCTCCTCTTTAGGGTTTGGAAAAATGGGTGTTTTAAAGAGAGGGCGGATCCGGTTAGGCCAGGCGGGTAATGAAAATTGGGCTTCTAAAGGGATGGGCTTGACTAAACCAATTTGTGTAGCTAAACTATTATATATATTTTATTCCTTAATTGACTAATGACCTAATTAATTAACTAGTATAAGAATGCATGTAGAGTTACTAATGTATTTTTTGGTATTTTAGTGTTTTACAAATGCAATTGATTATGCAATTAAAATTTAAAAAAATAAAAAATAAAAATTCAAAATATTTTCTTTAGAATTTAAAACGCAACTTAAAAATGCATCAAACATGAATACGTACAAAGCAAACTAAGTAAAAACATAGAAAAATAATTTAAAGCTATTTTTTTTAGATTTTTTAGAAGTAATTTTAAATTAGGGCAAAAATTAGGTGCTCACATCTACGACCAACCTCGTTGTTTTGCATTTTACCTTCAACGCCACGATTTCAAATTTATTATGCCATTTGTCCTCAATTGTAGTTTAATTTGCAAGAATTGTTGAAATGCTCTTAGGACTTGAGTTTTTCTTTTTCTTTTTCTTTTTCTCTTTTACTCCTGCCGTTGTGATCCGTAACAACTTTGTGATTCTGCTCATTATTTAAGAAAGGAATTTTATTTAATATCAAAGTTAATAACAGAAAACAAAATGGTGCTAATGCATAACTAAAATTTCAACTGCCCACATAATCACAAACATGAATTCATCTACAACATTTCGAGAGGAAATACTAACCATTTCTCTAAACATCAGTCAATTGAATTTAGCTAGGATCAATTAGGCTAAAAAATAATAAGTATAATAATTGCACAACACCTGCTTGCTGTTATTACAAACTTGCAAGGGGTACTTATCTAATGTCTAATTATTTGAAAAATTCTTCAATGTCAAATGTAACACTAGGTTCAAATCCCACAGACAAATCCCAATCTCCATCAAATGGGGAATTAGATATTGAAGTTGGGGTCGAGATTAATTCAGTAACATCTGACTCTGAGCTCTGTAGAATGTTGTCCATTGCAAATTCCTCAATTTGATTTGTCAACAGTGACAAATAGGAGGACAATTCTGAGGTAATTGGAGGTGAAAATGGTACCATGGAATTGGAAAAGAATTGGGTTTCTTCAATATTTTCGAGATTCAGTGGGGTAGGAGGGAATGAAAAGGGAGTGAAAACTTCTTCTTTTGTGAGGCTAAAGTTTTCAACTTTATGGTTTGGTCCAGAGTTGAATATTACCATCTCTTGTTCTTGTCTTTGATAACCCAATTCTTGTTTTTTGTTGTGTTTCTGACGTTTTTGGGTTACAAGTGAAAATATTTCTGATTGTGCAATTTTGCAACTGTGCCTTCCTTTATATGTGACCTCAAAAGTTGATGAGTTTCCAACTGATCTTTGGACTTGTTTTGTTGCCAAGCAGCCCTGTGTATTCCTGTGAGTGCACCTATAATAAGCCCTGCATTTACAAAAAAAATCTATTAGGCCAACAATATTAAGCAACTCTAATATTAACTAGTCCATAATAAGTGGAATCAACAACTCAGAATAAAAATAATGATGGTGTAAAATTTGTATTGAATTAAATCCAAATAGATTTACTCCTTGCATTAAAGTAATATATGAATGTTTTCCATATGCTCTTTATCCATTCCACTATGAATTATTGTCACATAGCACAAGAAGTTGCCAAAAGAAAGAGACCTTTCAAACTTTAAGTTGTTGTCTGGACTCTGAAACTTAAAAGTTCCATATGTGTTGTGAAATCATATTGGTTTGCTTTTAATAAGAAATAAAAAAAGGTACTTTCTTCAGCTACTGAAAGGACATAATATTTGGAAGTGTTTTATTTAGGAGGGGACCACATGAAATGATCCAAAACTCATGCACTGAATGTAGCCTAAACAGAAAGAAGAAATTGCCAAAAAAAAAAAACCAAAATTGTCAAAGACAAAACCTAGGACCTACTATAGGGGTCGCAATATACTACACTTCTCTCGCTTTTACTTATTTACTATACTAAAAATATATTTTTATTTTTACTTATCTACTATACTGAATTAAGAGAAAAACAATCTTTTTTTTTCTATTTTACCATTATCATAAATTACTTATTCCCTGAATTATTTCTATCACTATTAGGGTAAAATTGAAAAATGCACTCTTTTTTTTTTCTTTTTTTTTTTTTTTTTTTTTTTTTTTTTTTTTTTTTTAGGGAATACGAAATCAAAAGTGAACAATTAAAACCGTGAGGAAGGAGTAATAATAATGAAAATAAAAAGAATGATTCAGGGATCCCATCTACTGCCATCTTGTTCCCTGTAATTTATATTTGGAGCAACTGGCAAGTGGCCATTACAGTAGCTGCCTACCTCCTTATTTATTACTACTAACTTCCAGGTAAAACTGAGTTTAAGCCATTAAATTAGTGAAATGAAATTATATTAAATTCAATTGTTGATTACGTAGTTTGTATATGAGAGAAAAAGTCCAATTTTAGGATATTTAACAATTAAGCAAACAGCTAAAAAAAAGTATAGTAGGAAAAACCAAATTATGGTTTTGTTTTGGTGCATAATCCTAGTAAAAATTGGTGATCAAATGTGAGTCGACTCCATAAAAGATAAATATTAATGTTAACACAGGAAAATATAAAGGGAAATAAAAGCAAAAGGATTGTTACCTTGGATGAATAGACCCTAAAATATCTTTCTGGCCATATTTTCTCCAACTATATCCATCATCATGTTGACTTTCAAGTCCTGTTCCAGAAATGCTAACTTGTTTACTCCATTGTTCTGGTGTCTTTCTGTAAGCCAAAAAAAGTTCCAAATTACAAATATGGACCAAAAAAAAAGAAGAAAAAGAACCTTAATCCAAGAAATGATTGATTTGCAAGAAACCACAAAAAAATTGTCAAAAGAGTCCTAAAATTACCTCTTCTTGCTGAACACATTTTGGCCAACCAATTGATCCTTTGAAGAATCCAAAACCTCACTCTTTGGACTATTATTATTACCAAGAAATGAAATTGATGAACATGAAGATGTCGAATTAGCATTTCCACCTTCAAAAAGTAGTGCCTTCAAATTCAGAATTGACAAAGATTTTTCAAGTGAAGATAGTATTTTCCCAAGTAGTAAATCACATTCTTCAGGAGAAGCCAAAGGACCAATCTGTTTTTTCAGCTGATTAACAAACTCCCTCCCTTGTGTTAGCTCAGTGATCAGTTTCTTTTTCTCCAAAGCTTTAACTTTTTCCATTTTGGAATCTTCAACTTACAAAAAAGATGATGACAAATTAAATAGGTATTATTTGAGATGAGTAAGAACTATATAAATGGTGACAAAAGGGTAGGAAAAAAACAAGAAAGTAGAAGATAAAGGAAATTGTGTATTCAAATCAATTGCCAAGAAGGAAGCAGGAGGGAGCAAGTGAAGAGTTGTAAGTTTTAGAAAAAAGAGAAGGAAGGAAAGGAATATAAAGAGGGAAAAAAGTGGAAAGAGAGAGGGGGAGCAAATATTGACTGTGATTATGCTTTGTTGGATTTTTCTTTGTAATGTCTTGAATTTCTTTTCCTTTTCCTATGGAAGAATTAAATTCCAGAAAATATTCAAGAGACCCTACTGCTGACTGATTCAAAACGGCGTTTTTTCGGGCCACCACGGTTCACATCTCCCTCTTTTTTTCCCTCTTTTACTCGGTTTAGTCTTTTATCATTCTTGATCACTAATTGATGTTGAAGTTTTAATCGATCAAATACTAATAATAGTCTAAATTTGAAGATTATGTCGGGTTTTATTTGATTTACTTATTCATGAGAAGGAAATTCCAGTTTAGGTACAAATGTCACATCTAGAAAACAAACACAAAACCTCCCTAACTATTATATTGGCGAGCATGGCCATGTAATCAAGCATTATAAGATATTTATCACAAATTATTAGACCTCAGATTGAATAATTTCTTACTTAATAATCTGATTTAATTAGGTTTTGTATAAAATATGCGCTAGTAGATTTTTTCTCCCGGTATAATATTTGCAACATCATATTATGTCTTATAACAAATTTAAGAAATATATCAAGGATGATTTTGTTTATCAAGGTGCTCTCCCATATATGATTCAAATTGACTAAACTACACTTATAGAGATTAGCTTATTGGTTTACAAATAAAATCAAGTTAAGTGGACATTAGTAATAATTTCCTTTAATGTTTAACTAAGTGGCACTAAATAATTCATTTCATTAATTTATTATTTGTTTATGTTATTAACTACATTCATTTCTTCATTGAGCAAATTTCTGTTATATATTTTGAAAAGCTTAGGCATATAATTTACCTTTTAATTTTTAATAACTTAATATCTTAAACTACATCGAATGATGTAGTTATGCTTTTATATATATATATATATATATATATATCCTGAAATGTCTCACTTAATAACACTTTACAAATTAGAAAAGTGATGGTAGATTTGAACAAAAAAGTAATAAATGGTTCATTTTTTTCTAAAGTGTCAAACATTTAAAATAAATTTACGGACCAACTATCAGAATTTATTGATTTATGTGAGTGTGTGGAATCTGTCGTTGTATAATGGTTTTAGTTTCATTGGCTTTGTCCGAGAAAGCGTATGTAGCTAACGTGTTAAATTTTATGTAACTTGATATATATTACTTATCTGCTTATTGACATTCGTACAATTAAATGCTTTAGAAATTTATTCAAATTTCACGCACCTAGTAAATACATTTTCATGTATTTGACTCATTCTCTTGAAAATGGTTTGTTTGCACTTGACTTGCCATGAAACATCCTACTGCTGCATTCGAAAAATATAAACATCTGGGGTCAGCAAACAGCGAGTGTCTGCTTCTTTAATTTTTTGCCGTTTCACTTTGTTTCGATAATATTGCTTATACGGGTGAAACCGGACACATAAGCCGGCCCGGTTCCCGATAAAATAAATTGAGTAAGGGACACGATGACAAGGAGCCGGAATCGAGGTAAGGGACTTATCGAGGCAGGCACCGGGGGCACGACACCCGCCCTCGAGTATATCGAGGCCATGACCCCGGGATCGATCAAAATCCCAAAAGACCTCGGAAAGTATTATTGGGCAATCAAACACGATTAACGGAAGGTCGTAATATCCGTGATCAACCGGGTATCACGGCGCGGATCTCGGCACGCACCGACGGGAATTCAGTAATTAGTTAAACGGGATATTTTTACCTTTTATGGAATTGTACCTAGAATGGGATTCCCCTATTATATAGAGGGGGATCTCATTATTCATTGAACACTTTGTAACACGCAGCCCAAAGCAATATACTATTATTTTTACTGTTATACATAACTCTTATTCTCGTTCATCAGTGCTAGCCATTGTGAATCCGGATCGAGGGTGGATATTTCATCAAGGCTAGAATTATCCTCCTCACGTGATTTGAATTTACTATATCTTTATTTGTTTAATCTAACGCAATTTATCGTTTGTATCGAATTAATCCACGTATCCTTAAAACCACTTAGAAATTTAATTGTTATCCCTTTTTTAGGGTAAACAGTTTGGCGCCCACCGTGGGGATAAGAATAATAGTGGCAATTTGATACAAATTTTCATAACACACCCTATTTTACACTTGTTCTTTGGAGTGCCTTTAATTTCAGGTCAAAGTTTAAAATGTCGAACTCCCAATCTGCCCCTCTAAACGTGGATGCTGAGTCTAGTCATCATGGTGAGAACAACGATATGGTACCCAGTAACGAAGTGCCCCCTGTCAATCCCAACGGAATTTCGGCCACTGACCCAATTGACGCTAACTCACATGTGGCCATCAATGCAAATTTTCCTACAGATTCTGAGAACAGCGTCCGCGGGAGAGTCCGATCGGTAACCTAAAATACACACGACGGTGAAGGAGATGTGATCAACTTGCGAGTGATCTTCGAAATGCTACAGGCTCAACATGCAGCGATAGCCCAGCTGGAGAACCAAAGCCGCGCCCCCAGCAGGGTTGAGCCTAAGCCGCCCCCGTGAAATCGCTCGCAGAAACGAACCAGTCATGGAGAGTCCGAGTGATGCCGAATCCGGGACTAACCCCGAGATCATAAAAATGCTCGATGAACTAACAAAAAAGGTAGAATCGTGGGAAAAGAAAATCGAAGTCAATGACAAAAAGGTGAAAACCTACAATTCCAGGGTCTACCAAATCCCAGGGGCACCACCGATATTGAAGGGCCTGGATTCCAAGAAGTTTGTTCAAAAATCTTTTCCTCCAAGCACAGCTCCGAAGCCAATCCCGAAGAACGTCCACATGCCCGAGATTCCTAAGTACAACGGAACAACCGACCCAAATGAGCATGTGGCCTCCTACACGTGCGCCATCAAAGGGAACAGCTTAGAGGATAATGATATCGAGTCTGTCCTGCTGAAAATATTCGAGAAAACTTTGTCAAAGGGAGCTATGATATGGTATCACAACTTGCCCCCTAATTCTATTTACTCGTTTGCTATGCTTGCAGACGCCTTCGTGATAGCACACGCCGGGGCCATCAAGGTCGAGACCAGGAAGTCGGACTTTTCAAAGTGAAATAGAGAGATAATGAGATGCTCAGAAATTTCGTGTCCCGGTTTCAAATGGAATGAATGGACTTGCCTCCGGTCGCTGACGATTGCGCCGTTCAGGTCTTCACCCAGTGACTCAATACTCGAAGCTTGTTGGCTTCACAGTAGTTGAAGCAAAATCTGATAGAGTATCCGGCTATAACTTGGGCCTAGGTATATAATCGATATCAATCAAAAATTAGGGTCGAAGATGATCAGCTTAGGGCCCTTTCCGGGTCCGTTTATCTCGTCAGAGCTATTGACATATCCAAAAGAGATATTGATCGTGAACCACGATCGGATATGGACCGGTATCAACCATACAATGGAGATCGAAGAGGTAATAGGATCGGACAAAACCCTGTGAGAAGTGAAAGGAGAAGCGATCGAGGTCAAAATAACTGGGGACTCATGAGAAGAAGCGATTTTGACAGGCCCATCGGGCCTAAGGAGCGCCGAAGTTATCGGAGTACAACTTCAATATTGATGTCGCTGCCATCGTATCTGCCATCGGGAGCATCAAAGACACCAAGTGGCCTCGACCTTTATAGTCCGATCCAGCCCAAAAGGGACCCCAGCCTAATGTGAAAATACCATGGCACTCACGGCCACATAACTGAAGATTGCCGACAATTGAGAGAAGAAGTAGCCCGGTTATTCAACAACGAATATCTCCGAAAGTTCCCGAGCGATCGAGCCAAAAACCATTTTAGGAATATGGACTCTAATAAGCAGATCAAGCAAGAGGAACCTCAGCACGTCATTAACATGATCATCAGTGGGGTCGACGTCCCCAAGGGGTCGATGTTAAAGCGCACCAAAGTGTCCATCACTAGAGAAAACGGACTCAAGATTACATGCCAGAAGGAGCCGTATCTTTTAACAATGAGGATGTTGAAAGCATCGTGCAGCCACACAATGATGTACTGGTAATATATGTACTCATAAATAAATCTCAAGTTAAGCGTGTGTTAATTGATCCAGGTAGTTCAACCAATATCATCAGATCAAGAGTCGTAGGGCAGCTGGGTCTATAAGACCAAATTGTGCATGCACTTCGAGTTCTAAACGGATTCAACATGGCATGTGAGACTATTAAGGGGAGAAAACACTATCGGTGAACACCACCGGAACCATTCAGGAAGCAAAGTTCTACGTAATTGAAGAAGATACAAGATACAACACTCTATTCGGGAGGCCGTGGATTCACAACATGAGGGCAGTGCCCTCGACACTGCACCATGTATTGAAATTCCCAATGCCAGGGGGGATTAAAATAATTTACGAAGAACAACCGGATGCAAAAGAGATGTTTGCGGTTGACGAGGTGGTCCCGATATCCGCACTTTATACACTAAAGGATCCGAGTTCGGTCGCTAAGGAAGGGACTAAATAGCAATCACCGACACCGGCCCCGACCGGATCGGAGAAGCAGGGGACGGATGAGGACGACGACTATGGAGTTCCCAGATCCTTCATAGTCCCCGACGATTCCGACGCCACCAAATCAACGGTAGAAGAACTAGAGCAAGTCATATTGATCGAGCATCTGCCCGATCGTAAGGTATACCTGGGCACGGGGTTAAATCCCGAGCTCAGAAAAAACTCATTAAATTCCTTATGGCTAACATAGATTGTTTTGCTTGGTCCCACATCGACATGGCATGGATATTGCCGGAGATAACTACCCATAAGCTGAGCCTAGATTCGAAGTTCCACCCGGTCAAACATAAAAGGAGGCTCCAGTACAAAGTCAAGCATGCATTCATCAAAGACGAGGTATCTAAAATGCTTAAAATAGGGTCCATTCGGGAGGTTAAATACCCTGATTTGTTAGTAAACCTAGTGGAAGTCCCTAAAAAAGGGAATAAATTAAGAATGT